TATATATATATATATATATATATATAAAATGTGAGATCAGTAACTTATTAAATAATACTAGCTAATTACATGCTATAACTTGTTAAAATACAAAATATTTTTACAGTGTCAAATGTATATAAGTTAAATCTATATGTGTTTCTATTGCAATGAATTCTACCTATGAATTGAAGTGAATTTAGTCAATAAAGTATGTAGCATTGGGTCTTAATTCTTAATTGAGTTAGGAAAACATGAAATATATTAACTTTGCTATTGGTATGGCCTATGTGTGTAAAAAAGCAACGTAATATTTTTTAAGTTATACTTTCATCTTTACCTTTTATAGTAGGTAATTTATCATACTTTAAAATTATAAATCTAAATTTTAAGAAGACTTTATTATTTTAAATATCATGATGCACGAAAAGTTGGAAAAATGACACTGTATAGTCGCTCTCGAAATAATAATCGAAAATGTATATTTTTTTTTTGTGTGTGTGTATATATATACACACATTATATACGTTGTATACAGAAATTACATGAATTTCACAAACTTTTTCGGCTACCGAATATCAGTAGTTTCTGGTATGAGCTAAAAGTGAAAAAGGCACAAAATTATTTACACTAATGATGAAATTAAACTCAAATATTTGTAGAGAAAACTACCCTCTATAGCCCCTCAAAATTTTAATAGCCCATGTATTTGCCGATTGGCACAAAATGGTCTTCCGGCCCAAACATATTACATCTAATAGCCAGCAATATTTATTTTGTATATTTGTTGTATTGTAACAACCTATTTTGTATATTTGTTTTATAGTGACAGTTTATTTAGTATATATTTTGTATAGTGACAGTCTATTTTGTATATATTTTGTATAGTGACAGTTAATTGTATATAAATTGTATAGTGACAGTCTATTTAGTATATATATATATATATAGAAATTATATAAATATTGTACACTTTTTCGGCTATTGAATGTCAATAGTTTCAGGCACGAGCTAAAAGTAAAAGAAGCCCTAAAACATTAATGATGAAAAAAATAGCATGGGCTAGCCAGTTTTCGGACTGGTCATTCAAAAATAGCCAGTGTTTGATAAGTCACTGAAAAATAGCCACTATTTTGCTGCAACACGCAAAGTTCCAGCATAATATACTGGAGATCAGTGCACCTGTGTATGATTTTTCAGCATATTATACTGGAACTCCAACACGCGAAAAATTCCAGCATAATATACTGGAGATTGGAGCACTTGTGTATGAACTTCCAGCATATTATGCTGGACCGGCATATTCTACTGGAATATATTATGTTGGAGTTCCAGTATACTTATGATGGAACTCTAGTATATTATGCTGGAGTTCCAGTTTAATATACTAGAGTATTGTCCGGATTTTGAACAGTGTTTTCGTTCAGATTTATCGTTACATAAAAAGTGGCTAAACTTCGATTACTTTTGAACTGTGGCTATTTTTGAATGACCACTTGTAAATTTGGCTATTTTTTAATTTCTCCTACAGTATATTATGCTAGAAGTCTGGTATATTATACTGGAATTCCAGTATATTATGCTTGAGTATTTTCCGGATTTTGAACAGTGTTTTTGTTCAAATTTTTCTTTATATGAAAATAGCTAAATTTCAATTACTTTTAAAACTGTAGCTATTTTCGAATGACCACTTGTAAATCTGGCTATTTTTTAATTTTTCCCAAATTAAACTTACATATTTGTAGCTCTTTTGTAGGCCCATTGGCTTTTGCCCAAAAAGCATTCAATGGAAGCCTACCAATTCTCGTTTCAACTCCATATTCTTGGACAAAGGTAACACCAACGAGCATAATTTTTCTTTTTGTTTTCACCAAATATTTATTCTCATGCCCATTTATTGTAATTTTCTTTTATTTTCCCATCTTATGCTAAAGTTTAGATAATGAAATAACGTATACTATTATAAATAATTGTTACATTTACCGAAAAGTTGTTTTACCAAATGATTGAATATATAAAGTTATTATGCATATATCATTCATTTTTTTTCTTTCAAAATCTTTTTCATGAAACTATGAAAAGTATTGGAACTAATCGAAAAATAACGTATCATACTTTATCCAATCTGTAGAATCAAAATTATAAATATTTTTTTTTAAATTCATTAATTATTTATTTTTATGACCGCGTGAAGCGCAATAAATTTAACTAATTTTCTTAAATTTTGTAGTTTGCAAGCATAATTTTCTTGGACCAGCCTGTAAATACTGGATTCTCTTATGCAACAACTTCAACATCGTCCAATTGTACGGATCTACAAGCGTTGCAACTATGTCTATGAGTTTTTACTAAAGGTATTTGATAATTGTTCCAAGATTCAAGTAATTTTATATATCAGGTCATTAATAAGATAATTACAAGTAAATCACAAAAGTGATAACTAAACTATCACATGCTAAATTATTTTATAAAAACTGTAAAATAATTTAATTAGACCGTTACAGCTTGTTTGGATGGTTGTAACCTATTATATTGTATCGTATTATTACTTTAAATATAATATTTGTTATGATTGTCACGTAAATTTTATTATATTGTTTCGTTAAATCCATCGTTACGTAATGACGAAAAGTGCACATTATGTAAAAACCGATTTGATGTGATCGCGCCGTTACTTTATTTTTATCTCTCATCATGCCTTTCCTTATTATTAAATAATTCTATTTTATCCTTTATCTTACCTTTTTTATATAATAATTCTACTTTGTATTTTTTTTTTCTTTGTAATATTACAAGTTTATTATTCATATTGATAGTGCATGCCAGTATAAAATAACGACAAATAATCTATCTAAATATTGTATACATCAAAATATTACAGTGCAATACAATACAAATATAATATGATACATAACAACCATCTATATAAGTTGTAAGTATATATCTGAAATAGCAACCATATACAACACACTGGGCTGAATCTATAATGTTGATTAATAAGGCTGGTGCCTTAGACCTCCAAATTTTGGGCCCCAATTATTTAAAAAAATTAGGTTTATAGGTATTTAAAAAATAATATTTAGTATTTTTAATACAAAAGTAGAATTTTTAATATAAAAGGAAAAAAAGCTCTTTAGATATATAAGTAAAGTAATAGTTTGACTTACTTAAGTATGGGTAGATGAATAGTTTTCTCAACGTTTTCATTTTTCACTTCTTACTCATTCATTAGATAACGTGTAAAAATTTTATTTTTCCTTTCTTAATTTGTCCTAGTCAATTTTTCTTTTCCCGATCTCTTCATATTTCAAAAATCCCTACATATTTTCTGTATTTCTTTTTATTATTCTTACTCACCTTCTTTCTCCAAGAAATTTAAGCTTCCTATAATTCTATGTTTCTACTGCTCTATAAAATCTTATCTAAAATTAACAATATCCCAAAAAAAAAAAAATGAGTTGGCTATATTATCGATTGAAAATAAATTATTACGAAAAATCGATTATAAAAAGGATTATTAACACTTTATATCTCAAAAAGCTAGAAAAATAATAGACTTTAAATAAAAACATATCGTATATATTAAACTTTGTCTTTAGGCCCCACATATAACCTGATTATACATATGTATTGCATTAAACTAACAACAATTTATTTTGCAGTGGTTCAATGATCATGCAGAATTCATTTTGAATCCTTTCTATGTTTCTGGGGACTCATATGCAGGCATTATAATTCCACTTATTGTTCAACTAATATCAGATGGTAAGGGCCATATATATAGTATTATTTATATAAAAAAAAATTATTATTTAAAAAAAAATTACATTCTTTTTGTGTCTCTCTAAATCTGAAAAAAAAAAAAATTGCTAGCCAAAGTGTTATCTGTTCATACTTACAAAGTGATATAAAAATGCAGGAAATGAAGCAGGCAACAAGCCATTGATCAACCTTAAGGTTTTCTATTCCTTTCATTTTCAATAAATACGTTGATCGTTAGTAAATCACCTCGTACTTACGTTTGAGTATATTTATATTTTCAAGAAAAAGTTCAAATTTACCCCTCAACTTTTTACGATAGTATAAAATTTCTTGAAAAAGAAATTTATATTTTTTTCTGACGACACGACGGGATAAAATTAGACCAAAAGTTTAACGAAGAGCAAAGTTGCTCGATATTTGATGGAAAATTAATATCTTTACAGGGCTATACACTAGGCAATCCAAAAACATTTCCTGAAGATACAGATTATCAAATTCCTTACAGTCATCATATGGGTCTAATTTCAGATGAACTTTATGAGGTTGGTTCATTTCTTATTTTCATATATATA